AATCAATTATTGTAAAAAAAGTACAAAAAAACGTTTTAATATTATTTCGTATTAAAAATTAAAACATTTTAATTAAAACTAGGAAGGAAAGAAATTAATTATTTTTAAAAAACCATGAAGTACTTTGTCAGTAGAAAAAGAAGTTTGATTAAAAAACAAGAATGAAATGTCATAAAATTATTAGATACATTTGGAGAAAATGAACTATTTTATGAAAATATGAAGTATGATATTATTTGAAAAAGAAAGAATTCTTTGTTAAAACGAAAGAAAAAAATTAAATGTCATAAAAATTATATATTTAAATTATTATATTTAAAATGATATTATTTATTTTAAAAATATATACATCATCTGTTCAGAAAAAATTTAATTAGAAACAAAAAAGAAATGTCGTAAAACTTATATTGTATTTGACGAGAAATTAATTAATTTAAAAAAGTATTATCTCTAGAAAAGAAGAAGCTTGACCAAATACAAACAAAACAGAGAAATGTCATAAAGATGATGAATTGATAAACAATTAAAAAATTTTTTTAATAATAAGGAAAAGCAACTGAGAGCACCACCGCAGTTATTAATAACGTATATAAGTTTAATACTTTTGAGTACATTTACTCCGTGAAACTGTATGACAATCCTTCTTATTCTCAATATTCTCGATCGTTTTAGCTTTACTTTAAACCATTTTCAACATTAACAAAATTAACTAATTAGATAAACCAGAGCACTCTTGATGAACTTAAGTGATTATACACTGCAACATTGATTGTCCTATCTTGATATTAAATAACTGTTAAGATCAATTTAGCCAAGAGTGCGTTAACATTCAATATCAATATAAGTGAGAAATAATCCAAATTCTAATAGATATTCATCAGATTTAGACAATCAGTCCGCGTCAAGATATACAAAATAAAGATGATGAATTAAACTATTATATTTAAAGAGAAATGAATTATTTAAAAGAGAGTATATTATTATTATTATAGAAACAGTTTGATTAAAAACAAAAAATACAATGAAAATAACAAAAGCCAAATTAAGGATTTTTATATAAGAAATAAATGCTAATATTAGTCTGTTTGTTTTAAACGTTTTATATGTAGAGGAAGTCATCACGTCTCTGAAAAAAGACAATGGATTTGAGAAGAAAACGTTTATTTGTAGGTAAATTCGATAAATAATAATTACAATAGTATTAATATCTTATTACAGCGATTTATACATTTAGCTCATAATTTACATGGATTTAATTTTCAACGAGTTGTAAAATGACAAAAACGCTATACATTCATCACTTCACTTTTCCGCTTGTTTTCAAGAAAAATAATATTCCTGCCCCCCGAGTAGGCATTATTATATATATTTTAATTATAGATCGAACTGTATCACACAAGAATCTTTGTCATATATAATTACTGTAAAAGTTCAACAAATGATCTCATCTTCGAAAAGGCACGAGTGTTTTTTGTCTTCATCGCGAAAATCGGAACTTTCCCGTCAAGCTTTAAGTTCCTTCATTATCACAATTACATACTGCAACGATACATTCGCAGCAATTACGAAAAAAAGAGATTTAATAAACGATTCTACAAAATTTTTTGAATCTCCAATCCTGAAATTTTAGAGATTCAAAAAGAGAATTTTAAATTTTTTGCAGATATTAATTTCAAAATCATTTATTGCAATTTTATGCAGTAAATTTCCGTTCATTTTTTAACATACGTTTTTTAATTTATTTATTTCTTACTTATTTTTCTAAGCGTTGATGAGACATCATACTAAAAGGATCCGCAATTATTATGTAAAATGTGTAAATTAAACATGCTTTTTATACGAGAAAGATAATAACTTTCTGTCACATTCTTTCACAATCTTAATGGGAGGATTGTCGAAATTTATCGTAAAATAGCTTATCGTAAATAAACAATTAAAATTTATAGGATAGGTCAATGAAGTGAATCATCTTGCAAATTCTGCATTGCACGGAAAAGGGCTCGGAAAGAGGAATCACAAAATCACGCGATAAACTCTATAGAATATACAAAATATCAATTTTTCCTTATGTCAATAGACACTAGACTACGAAAAATAAATCGCGAGTTGTATTGTTACCCGCGAGCATTTGGCAAGAACGGCTGCAGAGTAGCGATAGTTTCTTTGTTTTTGATGTATTACTTGACAAAAATAGGTTCTCTCAATTCATATTCATAATTACACATTATCTGGTGACATCGCTGTAACAGGCATTGACCATAGATTGAGAAATTACACTAATTCGCCAATAGCTTTATGGAATATAAAATAGGAGATAATATACAATATAAATATAAAATAGAATATAATTATCATTAAAAATAGAAAAAAATATAGCATGTTTAATATTTATATTTACGATGTCAATCATAAAATTTCATATTTATATCTACAAATTCCGTAAATATATCACGAAATTCTGATATATTGTTAAAATTATTTTTCTCGTATTTTTAAATTCACGTCCAAAATTACAAAACTATAAGAAACAATTGTTATTCCATTCCACTATTGGTGTAACACATATAACTTTTCATCAAAACCTTCCTCTTAAAATTGTTATAAACCCAGTCTACGGAACTCTCGTCGGACAAACCGCAATTAAATTACAATTGTGCGTATTTCGAATCAATTAATTTTGACACCTCTCTCTTCATTGGATTATACATAATCGTTTACATACGAATTTCTATCGTTTATTTTTTCGGGCACTCGTCAATCACTATGGCAGACACAATTAGATCTCTAGTTTTCATAAAATCACTAATCTGTATTTTTGCGCATTTCGAAAATATATATACATTTGAAAAGTTTATCCTTTTAGAAATCTAATACTGATCAATTTAATACTGAAAGACAGTGATTAATTATTTATTTTGAGTATTAAAAGTACTGTTGTTCAGTTTTAATACTCAAAATAAATAATAAACTCGAAATAAATAATAATTACTTTACATCTTTCAATATTAAATGGTCAATATTACCCAGATAGCATTTATACGGCACAGTAACTGTACGTTGCGGAGTGAAGCTCTGAAACGTTACGCTGTGCACGCATGTTACACTCATGTGAGACATCATATGTTGAAATCCATGAAGTCACATGAAACAAATCATGTAAACAGCACGTTAACCGCACATTGCCAGCACTGACACACAGTTACGTTATAGCAGCACGTTGACTACGCAATGAATAATACAAATTCTGTCTTTTTGGAACAGCACGCTAAGCACACAATCCTGTTACGACGTGTAAAATTTTTATTATTTTCATTCTTGGAGCCCAATTATGGGAACTTATCTCATCATTATTGGCTGCGTTCAAATGTTGAGTCTGCTGAACGCAGACACTTTATCAAAAAAAGAAATAAAATTTTTGACTGACAAGGGGAGCACCAGACATTGTCCCCTCCGATTGAGTTGAACTTTATATATGTTATAAATCTGTCCTCCCACTAATTCATCTTAAAGTAATAGGACCCGCCTCTCAAGCGTTCGCGAGAAAATCGCGTTTAAAGATTTACGTGTGCGTAATGTACCGTGTAATAAGAAGAGATCGACACCGTCATTCAATGTGCTCATTGTAAAACAATATTATGTTTTGTATGTTTTTACGATGAATATCATCCCAAAACATGTAACTCATCATACAATCAGTCTTATTCCGAAGATTAGCAAATAATAGCTTACAATTACTGAAATATATGTTTATTACAAATTTGCTTATTAAAATCTTATGAATAATGTTATAGAAGATTGACTTTTTTATTTTCTTCCTTACTTTCCTTTCATTATGTATTCTGAAATATCTTATTAACTCATTCTGAAATTACATAAATTATATTCACAAAAGAAAACCTTACAACCATTAATAAATAGATGAATTTCATAATATCTGAAATATAATTAATTGTATAATTAAAACAGTTATTTTATAGGCTAAATATTTAAAAACATACACCACACGCAATAGCACGTTACGAGGACTGATTGTATGATGAGTTACATGTTTTGGGATGATATTCATCGTAAAAACATACAAAACATAATATTGTTTTACAATGAGCACATTGAATGACGGTGTCGATCTCTTCTTATTACACGGTACATTACGCACACGTAAATCTTTAAACGCGATTTTCTCGCGAACGCTTGAGAGGCGGGTCCTATTACTTTAAGATGAATTAGTGGGAGGACAGATTTATAACATATATAAAGTTCAACTCAATCGGAGGGGACAATGTCTGGTGCTCCCCTTGT